TGTATTTTTTTGTGAAATGTATGCAGTGTACAATCAAATATCATTTAAACAAAATATTCAAAAGTAAAAGAAAGTACTCTCTATATATAAATATAATATTCTTGGCGCTCTATTTTTGATAGAAAAATATTATAGAACAGTAAATCATTTCCAGGTAGCCAAGATTCCAGTTCAAAATTGTTCCCAGTACACCAAATGTAGAGACTGTCTGTCAAGTAATGACCCATATTGCGGATGGTGTGTCCTAGGCCACAGGTCTGTACAAAATTGTTTGAATTTCTGCTATTTTTGTGAAATATTCTCAACATATGGCATACAGATTTCTTCCCAATTTCCTAAGCCCTTTGTATTTGCCATTAATGGCTTATATGAACGTTCATTGTTTCTTTTTCTTATAAATTATTATATATTAAGCAAGGTCATTTCTTTCCTTTTTTGCAGATGCTCATTAAAAAGCGATTGCTACAACCCTACACACATTCGATGGGTGAACGGTCCAAAGCAAGAAAACAGATGTATCGAAATCAGTAATGTTTCCCCACCAATACTACATGTCTTCCAAAATATCACGGTAAGAACTGAATTCTATATTTTAGTGTACAGTAAATTAAGTTTTACTTTTTTTTTGTTTTTGTAGCGTTACAAAGGGTTTTCCCCTATAAAATATGAAAGTTGATTTGTAGCTAATAATTATGTTGAGGTCTCTCACGTGAGATTATGCCCTCCCTTGAGGGATATTCCATTAGACGATTAGTGTCGCCCGCGTAGCGAAGTGGTTAGAACGTCTGCTCTTGAAGTAAGGAGTTGATCCTGATGTCGCGGGATCGCGATGGGTCATTACAGATTCGTCGCGAATCCCAATGTGGGACGTGGAGACCGGCCCTTCGGAGGATTATGTATAAATCGTAGTCCCGTGTCGCAGTACGTGCTGGCACGAAAAAAATCCCTCCCTGGTCAAAAGCCCTGAGTGCCGAGTATAGTACAAAATTTGCAGCTCTGCACCGGTGGCGTCTCCATATAGAGAACACCAAACACGTACCGAACGAATATCTGTTTTACGAACGGTAATCTTGTTTACTTTGTGATTACCTGTGTAACTGACGAAACGTACGGACGAATCACACGTATAGAAAAAATTAAAGAAAAATGTGTATTTGTCAATTTGATATAAAGTAGAATCGCTTCAATTGGTGTTCTATTTATCAGTATAATATAAATATATGCATATGTTCAGGTGTGTCTTTATTGATTCATTTTGGTAAATTTATAATACATAAAAATTAATCCGTATTATATTAAAGCATTGGTGGATCCAGAGGGGGTTCCGAGGGTTGAAACCCCCCTCCCGTTTTATTTTTGTACACACACACACACACGCACACACCCTCACACACACACACACACACACACACAGAGAGAGAGAGAGAGAGAGAGAGAGAGAGAGAGAGAGAGAGAGAGAGAGAGAGAGAGAGAGAGAGAATAGTTTTTTTTTGTAATATAAATATTTATACGTCTAATAATTTGAAAAATAAAAAACTCCTCTCTGCTCGCTAGATCTATAGATTTTCGCATATTTGCTTTTTCTCAGTGTACCTTCACAACATCAGCTAAGGGCTCCGAACATCCACAAGTAACATGCAAGGAATATTCCAGCGAACTTTAGCTGTGCCTTTTTGGACCATCTTCAGAAGTAACTAACTTTTAGAAGTACAGTACCCGCATCGTTATTCTTTACAATTCTATCCTGTCCTATCGTGCGTGTATCCTATCGTATCGTGCGTGTATCCTATCGTATCCTATCGTATCGTCTTTCCCGTTTATCATGTTTTGCGTTTTCTTTCGTGTTTTCCGTTCACCGTGTTTTGCGTTTATCGTGTAGATCGTTTATCAGGTTCTATCGTGTATCGTGTTTTGCGTTTATCGTGTATGTTCAGAAACCCTCGCTTTTCATCTTCACTATAGAAAGAAACTACTGAGCTCTTCCGAGTTTCTTTTTCGTTTTGTTAACTAAAATTAGATTACTTCAACTGAAAAAAGAAAAGAAATTTTTATCCCTTTCTTTTTTATCTTTAGCAAAAAAAAATATTAAAGCGTAGAAGGAAAAGAATAAATCAATAATGTAATTCATAAATAAATAAATAGATTAATTTATTGATAAAAAAATCAATTAAAAAAAACAATAAATAAAATAATTATATCATGGTCAAGCAGAGACTGTTTACCAAAATTTAAACAGTAACTCTATTTTCGGAAATGAAATTATGATCGATCGCCTGGTCTTTTATATATATATATATATATATATATATATATATATATATATATATATATATATATATATATATATATATATATATATATATATATTTATCGAGTTGTATGATTTAATTTGTCAAAAAAAATATTATTAATATGATTTTCTTGAATGAATCAGAGTTACTGGAGAAATATTTTTTGTAAGTTACGGTGTATGCGTACCCAAAAAACAAATAAATAAATAATAAGCAGGGGATTGATATGTATCTTTTTTATGCAATATTCTTTTTTTTCCCTTGTTTATCGACTGATAATATTAGTAATATGTTAACACCTCTGATCTGAATGTATGCAAAATTATTTAAAGTCTTCCTGTTACAAAAATAATACAGCAAAATTAAAGACATTGATTCAGATGATTTTAACACCGATTTTGATACGTTAAATTTTTAAATTCATTTTTCATCACTATTTAATAAGCTAATTATGAATTCCTTGACATATGTCTAAATTGAAAAAAGATCAAAGTTATAAAATATAATGCATGAAAATATCCTACCCAATCTATCACACCATGGCTGTTACTAAAAATAGAAGTTTTTCATTAATTTTATCTGGCATTAAATACTCTAAAGATAATATATACAATGTACAGGGGAAAACGTGATGTTTTTTAACATCTTACCTTTTCGGCGTGGAAATAAATTGGAAATATAATGCATCGGGGTGTCAAACGAAGACCTTTCCTTACCAGAAAACTGGCACTTATGTGTACCTCTCTAATCAGCACACTGCCTTCCTGTGCGGTCCCCCCTTTCTCCCCTAAATAACACCTCGGCCCGTGTGTGTTCACCGTCAACATACCTGCTCTCTCGCCTGGGTTTAATTAGTAACCTCGAATACTACATGAACCTGGTTCTTATGAAACGCATCTACGTATTTTCAGAATTTTGTTCTTAACTTGTGTGAACAAAGTTATCGAAGATTTTATTCAAAATAAATTAAATAATTGTACAATTTATGGATTAAAAAATCATTCCATTGCTTAAATTTTAAATAAAAATTCAAATAAATCAATTTAATGAAATGAAGTCCCTAAACTCAATCCACTGATTTATTTTATTTGTACAATGTTTCCATTATGTTTATGTAAATAATTATAAGTCTTTTAATAAACTTGTTTAAAAAAAATACTGCACTTATGGTACATGACCTTTCGGATCATCGAGTTTTCTGCGTAATACGGATAGGATTAATTCCAGGAAACAATTTCATTAATCTTGGAACCAGATGAAATAGTTCTAATATACGTTAAACTAAAAAAATTGGCTCGCATTATTTTTTAACGGTATTTTACTATAATTATAAAACAAAAGAAGTCGTCTGATTCCGCCGTGACCATGCAAGACAAGTAAATACACCGAATCAGTTAATAGTATTAATCGATTTCATTCCATACGTATATAACTTTATTTAAGAAGTCAATATTATTTTTGGCTATTTGGTGAGATCTTGTTTATCTAATTTTACAATGGTTATAATTACGGACTTTCTACATCCCGCCCTTTGAATATGCCGTATATGAGATTACCAGGTAAGGCTAAAATAATTTTCAGGGTTTAGAAATTCATTTGCCGACCTAAACCTATTTGTTGTTATTATTCGAAACAGTACACAAAAAGTTTAATAGGAATGATTTGTAATTATTTAGTCGGAAATGTTGCATTTCACTCTTTTAATCATTGTTTATTAATTTTTGTGTTCCGTATTGTAAAGAAAAAAGTCCTTGATCATTAATTTAATTTTCTTAAACTATATAGTTGTTGATAGATCTATCATGTTACTTTTTTTATTTTGTTAAAGCCAATTTCTTTGAATCTTTCCAACGGCCGGTCTTCTACATGTATTTTTTTCCTCAGATTTTAATATTCAATTGCGATTTTTGGATACACCGAAGATTGTAAGCTTTAGACATTAAAAACAAATATTTAATTTATTGCGTAAATTTCTTTCGTGAAATAACTTAGTACTTGTAGATAAATTTATTAGGTACAAATGTATATTTTTTCATAAATACTAAATCTATTTATAGAGTTTCATAAATTTATAATAGTACCCGTGAGAAACGCCACATAATTATGTAAGGGATATTTGTACAACAATTACATGTATGTTAAAATATCCATAATTAAACGATTCATAGTTCAATGTTCAGATGAGAATTTCGACATTTACCAAAATAATCGTAAATTCACATGCACCCTTGAGTAGAAATTTAAAAAAAAAAAAATACAGTCTCCATTTCATAATAATCCATTTAATCATTGACAAAATTTTTTATATAAATAAACAACTTTTGTAAAATTACCACAGTGATCTCAAGTTTTTTATTATAATAATTAAATGTATTTTATAATTTAGATTTGAAGCTTTAGTAACTAAACAAAATAATCTTTTCGTCTTGTCAGAAAACGTTCCGCATTTTGAAACAATCCAATCAGGTTTTGCGTTTGATCTATCGTGAAGATCGTTTATCAGGTCTATCGTGTTTTGCGTGTATAGTGTTTTGCGTTTATCGTGTTTTGAGTTTATCCTATCGTGGTTGTATCCTATCGTATCGTGCGTGTATCCTATCGTATCGTGCGTGTATCCTGCAAAGAATAACGATGCGGGTACTGTATGCATAGATATTTTTAATCAATGAAGAGAAACGTTTAAAATGTTCCCGTGGTATGCAGAAGGGCGGCAGCTCACTTTTTCTGATGATAATATTTTGCTGCAGTTTTAAATAATATTTTGATTTGGAAGCTTCCTCCACATTTTTTGTTGTTGGCAAAATACGCAAAATCAAGATTGAAAATGATGTACCGAACAGTTTTTTTTATGTTTTTGTTTGCTTGTTTGTTTGTTTGTGTGTGTTTTATTATTTTTTTTTTTTGCTTGTCAACTGTTTTTAGAAGCCCTCTTTCTTATAAATGAAGCTACGGACTTGAAGTGGCCGTGGTGTGATTCTATGCATGAGTGCTGGGTACACCGACCTGGAACCCCCCCCCCCCCCCCCAACCACTTTCAAAAATTGCTGGATCCGCCCATGTTATAGGACGACCTTTGTTTATTACGATAATGTCGTATAGGTTGTAATAATTATCAATACGACGCTTTGCAAGAGCTGAGCACGATTCAACAATAGATGAAAGTTCCCATATAGGTTGTCGATATAAGGAACCCGATATAATATAATAACCCGATATTGGTCGTTCATATCTAACTAGGAAGTAAAAAAATAGATAACTCTAGAAAGTATGTACTAGCAATTAAACTCTGTAAATATTTATTCAGCGGTGGATCCAGGAATTTCAAAACGTTGGGAGAGGGTCGGGGGCGCAGTAGGAGATGGGAAGTCTGGGGGCTGCATTAAAGCCCCATTAAGTTAAGGACAAAGCCCTGGTTGAGATCCAGGGGCGAAACTTCCGGAAACTGAGGAATTCTAACAAATTAAAGGTGTTTTTCCTGTTGATTAAGATACATGTAATACAAACGAAATTTTAAAAAAATCAAATGATGGAAGGAGCGCACGCCAAGAGCGCCGGTGCTGGATCCGCTTTTGAAATCATTACAAAATAAAGATATAAAGCGAGTGATATATTGATGGTATTCATTGACTAGTAATACGGTTAATATCTTCGAAATACGATCGTTCGTTGCGTGTTTTGTGTTCTCTATATATAAGTAAAAAATTCTCAAGAGGGACATCAAAACATACAAAAACAAACAAACAAACAAACCATTGCCCTTTAGTCCTTCATTCCATTTTTTCCCGGTATCGATTTCCAGCATTCATTAATTTGACATTTATCCTTTTAAAACATTTCTGTAGAAATAAGGTAAGTATAGCAGTATTGATTATGTATTGTTTCTTTTTTTATTGATTTTGTTTCATTGAGTCCACATAACACTTTATCTAATAAACTGGATTTTATTTTATTTTTTCAATCAGCTATTACACATTTCAGGTATTTCATCCGAGTCCTCATTATTTTTATAATTAAATGACCTGTAATGACAGACGCAACAACTCTTATCAGACCAGAAAAATGAAAAGTTATTCTATAAGATTAATATGTTTTACGGTGTGACCGTTGGGGCGAGCGCAGTTGTACCATCAAAAAACACGTGAAAAATTGATAAGCCACTTCAAACATCAAGCCGCAAGAGACATCTCGACTAGCTGTGACGTCACACGATGTCACGGAGCTCGTCGGAGCTTATGGAGACCGCCGAGCGTCTGGTTGAAACTATAGACCTAGTGCAATTTTGGTCGAAAAACATTGCCAAGTTTGTTTTTTTTTCTTTAAAGATGTCTACAAAATGAAAGCCTTTTATGCTTTACGTGATTATTTATTTATTCGCGCAAAGGACATTGGGCAGTAAAGGAATTCTATGAATGTTTCACACAAAAATTTGCCTGACGTATTACTATGTACAGATTTCATTCCGAATTTCCTCCACGTTAGTCTTCTGAGATTTTATAAATAAAGTTTCTTTTACTTTTTTTAGCTCTCTCCGCGATGACAATACCTCATTTTTTAAATAAAGCTTTCTTTTACTTTTTTTAGTTGAATCTACAACTGTGTGTTTAGTGTGTTCAGCTTTCCTACCGGAAATCAGATTTTATCCCCAGCTGTTCAGTGGAGTATTGGTATTGAGTGTAGAAATCCTAATGTTGAAAATCTTAGCGTCAACTTTAACAGCAGCCTGGGTAAGAGATAATAAAAGTATATATATATATATGTATATATATATTAAACCATATCGTTCATCAATAGCCGCAATATATCATTCAGACTATGAAAAAGGTGCATTAAAGATATGACAGAGGTGTTTAAACAAGTTTTTTAATGTAACAGGACTGATTAAAAGGATAAGTGTTTTTTTAAAGCAGTCACAAGTATAGATGTTGGCAAACTTTCAGTTAACAAATCTCGTTCAGAAGTTAGTCTGTGTTAGAATGATCGTTTTAGCAAATACATTCAAGTTGCAAGTTTGAAATATTTTATTGTCTAAAAGATTCGAGATTTAAAACCGACCATCGTTATTATGAAAGAATGCAACTTACAAAGTTACAAATTACTTTCTCATGAAATTACACAGGCCTTTTTCCTGTACAAGTTTATTGCTAGAGAGAAATGAGTATATTTTTTTCTAATTTCTTTTCTGTAGGATATATCAACGTAAGCCTGGGTATTTTGTCTGTTGAGTCAGACCAGGTGATTGTTTCATCGCCTTATCTTTTCTACAACTGCAGTAGTTTTACAAGGTAATTGAGGATATATTATGATATATTTTTTTTCTCGAATGAGTTTTATATTCTACTTAGTAACTCTTTGTAGTTCATTAATACTAATGTATTTCTTTCAGTTGTACCAGATGTGTTGACAACATTTTCTGGTGCGACTGGTGTATTACAGAAAACAAGTGTCATTTTAACACAAATCAGTGTTCTGGGGAGAGAGTCAGTAGTCAAAAAGCAAGTAGAATGTACTTTTATGCTAAAGAGTAAAAATATTATTGTTATATATAATAAAGGGTGTATTTGAATTTGCTCTGCTTTCAAACTATTCCAAGTCTTAAATTGAATATATTTTTTATTACCAACAAGAAGGCACAGAATTTATTAAAAGTTTAATGTTAATGGCAAGAATTGTGTTTCTTTTTTCAGTCATGTATATATATATCCTTTTATTCTTTTTTAACACAAATAAAACTTATTATCATTAAAAAAGAAGAAAAAACTTGCTATAGGTAGTGACCTATAAGCTTGAATAAGACTTTTTGTGAAAGACCAGAAAACCTACTATGAGAGTGTTCAGCATAGACATATATTGAAAGTAAACAATACTTCTCTACAAGACATACAGGTAAAGAAAAGTGCCTCCTTTGTTTAAAACAGCACTAAATTAAGTATATATTTTCTATAGAATTCAATTTTGTACCTACTTAAAACTCGTCATCTCTATATCATATATAACTTACATAAACTTTAGTGTACATGCAAAAATTTGGGGGAAATTAATCCACGTATTTTTAGGGGCCGTCTAAAATACAGGTACATTTACTATAGGATTATAAAGGAAAATTTCAACTTTTTAGCTCTTTCAAGCAAATTATACAAATTCTTTTCCATAATAGACATTTTGTTCAAACTATAATATTTGATCTATGTTATATAATATATGTAAGAAGCAAAAAGTTCCCTTATGTTACCAATACAGCACTGGGAATTGCAAAATCAAAAAATTAGCAAATTTTACTATTTTTATCCTGAGTATTACAAAATAATGACGTACAAAATGGATCTTTTGAAAACATGATAAAAATTTACCTTTGCTGGAAATTTCTACGTTAAATTTAAAGTGTAAAAGACTTTTTCTTAGTAATATTTTAATTAATTTTAAGAGCTAATTATTTTCCAACAAACTGCACGACGTCATACCTTCATTTGCAAAATCGGTTAAGAATCTTATCAAATTGTAATTATATTTTTATATCTTTTCTTAAATTTGTTTAATTTTAATAATTAAGCAAAAAAAGTTGCATTAAAACAGTAAATACGGTTCAACTAGATGCGCGATCCAATATTGCGCAATGGAAGCTAACGGCCCCCTTAAATAGAACTCTGTTATATAAATATATCGGGGACGCATATAATTTTTGAACTGTCTGTCTGTTAGTCACATTAACCTATGCAATAACTTTTGAATAAATTCAATGCTTCATAAAAACTGATATTTAGTACACTACTCCACGGCATTAAACTCTTCCAAATGACTTATGATGGTTAATTCCTTTTGACACCTGAGGCATACATGCTAAAAATAGCTTTTTCAACTCTTTGATAGTGTTTCAAAAGAAGGGTATGAAAATAACGAACATTTGTTTTTCTTATAAATTCGGTCACATTGTTTTATGAACTGTTTATCCATTTCCAAGACCTCTGTTCAAAGTTAAAATATTCTAGCACTTAGGTTGTCAACATGGAAATATTTGTTAATGCATAATTAAACTAGATAGAAAAGGAACAAATTATCTTTTTTAAATTATCATTTTATATGGTCTCCAGCACTAACACTATCAGTTTCTTTTCTTTGTCTCACAGCTGTCTTTTAAATATTCTCCTCTTGTTGTTTGTATTTTACTTAGAATGTATTCAATATAATTAATGTAATCAGAGTTAAGCCTATGTCTCATTTATTCAATAAGGCTAATGAAAGTAGACAATGGAAGAATTTTTGTCCGATGGTGGACGCAAGTCAGACTGGTCCCTTATTGGTTGAACAGCATCAAATTAAAACAATCGTCATCCAAGGAAAGAATTTCCCAGAACCTGTAAGTACAGTCATAAAATGTACACAAATACATTTAATAAATTGTGTTACATCTAAAAACAAAAGGGATATTATTTTAAAGAAGTTAATGATTAAAAATTCAATTCTGATGTAGCTTAAAATTAAAGTCTTATAGTTTTTCTTTGATTTATAATACAAACTGTAATTACTAAGCGTATGATTATAACCAATATAACTATCAATAGTATAATTGTAAATGTCATCTCATAATGACATAATTTCATGAGCAATTTGAGAGTACAGTGCACATATGTATCTTGGTACTTCTCAGAATGTCTAAATCATACATACACGTATTAAATAATTACTCTAATTATAATACACCCATGTACATGTTAACATTTATAAATACATTGTACATGTGTACTTTTGCAGGACAAATATAGAGGACAAATACAGTTACCATCAAGGATACTGTATGTAAATGGTAGAAGGATTTCAAGTACTCAATTAATTTTCACTATCGACAACGTAAGTATAACTAAAAAGTGCAAGTAAAGTTGATGGATAAAACAAATGGCGATATGAATGTTACTTGTTACTTAGGTTGGATTTTAGCTATCCCTTAAGAATCACTATAGTAAACTATTGTTTAGTAAAGTTAACTATAGTTATCAATAGTAAATCAAAGTGTCAGAGTGATCACTATGATAAGTCAAAGGTGTCAAACTGTTCACTTTATTGTCAAAATGATCACTTTACTAAATCAATGTTGATAGTAAATCAAGGCTTTTTAAATCTACCACTATAGTAAATCTACGTTTTACCATAGTATATTGAAGTTTTCAAAGGGTCGCAATGGTAAATCAAAATTTTCATAGTTAAATGTATCACTTTAGTAAATTATAGTCTTCAAATTTATCACTTTAGCAAATCAAAGTTTTCATTGTGATTAAAAGTGTCAAAGGTATCACTATAGTAAATCAAAGTGTCAAAGTAATCACTTTAATTAAACAAAGTTGTCATATTGTCAAAGTTATCACTATAGTTAATTAAAGTAAACTTTAGTAAACTACAGTATTTCTGTTTGGGATTTCAGGAAAGGTTAAGGTACATGTAACGAACAATAATATATTTTTAAAATAATCTTTGGACAATACTATTGTAGAAAAAGTAAGTTAAATATAGACCTAGAAAAAATCCAGAGGTAGGATCAGGTGCCTTGGAGGATAAAGCATTCAGTGTCAATACCTTAAGTAGATATTGAAAAAAACATTTAATTACATAATTAATACGTATGTAGGCAATTTTTTTATTATTCCAACGTTGACATTTCAGATTGAAGACGCCTTACCCTTGGGTATATATGAAGCAAACATGAAAGTACTGTGGACAGAACATGAATTTAACATTGAAGCAAACCATTTAACATGTACGTTTTAAGGATATAGAAATATGATCTATTAATGACACAAACAATGAGTTTTCCATCTTTTTAACCGAAAATTAATTTAAATGTTATATGGTTAAATTAAATCAAACCTTAAATGTTACGTAGCTTGAATTAAAATGAAATAAAATGAAACCAGATTTATTTGTTAAACATTATGCATCCGGTAGCAAAAAGTTTGAGAAAGCTATGTTCAGCATATATGTCACAGTCAAGGTGACGAGGCCAAGAACGTTGTGTCGGTTGTTAGAATTTAATTAGTGGAATATGCATACAAAATATGAAGTTTCTATCTCTCATGGTTCATTCTAAAATTATAGCGGAGGTTAAAATTGACAGCAGAGAGACAAACAGACAGGACACAAACTATGGGTAACCCGATCTATCGATCCGGACTCATAAGCAAATGTAGCTTAATTTGAATTGATTTTTTAAAGCAATATTTTTATTTTTCGTATCATTGCGAACTTTAAAGTGATAACTTATTATGATTCGTCATGAGATTATTTTCCTGACAAAAGAAAACTTAGCTACTTGAATTAAAGAATGTGAATGTTACGCATGATGTAATCTCAAAAGTTAAATATTTGACTGTTTATAGACTTCAGGAATTCAAACTTCCATTGCTTTACCATTGTTTTCCGTTTTAGATCGTTTTTTTTAAAAGAAATGTTTTAATTCCTATTTCAGTGACTTTGTACAGCTGTCCTGACCAAGCACTAGGAGACTGTACCTTCTGTAAGAATCTGGCGCTCAGTAATCCTGCAATGAATTGTAAATGGTGCAGTGATCAATGTATCTACAGTCTACACAACTGTTCAGATTCATTATGTCCAGTCCCAATAATCAACAGTGTAAGGAAATGAGTATTTTTGTACCAAATCAAATGTATAATTTGCAAAAAGATCGAAATTCATTCAAGCATCATCTTTCGATGTTAGAAAAAGTATTAAGTCGTCTGTCTGACGTAAGAGTTAGAGCGTCTGCTCTTTAGTCGCAGAGTAACAAGTTAAACCTTTCTTTGCGGGTTCAAGTCTCATAGCGGGAGGTGAAAACCGGTCTTCCAGATAAGACAGTATAAACCAAGGTCCCGTGTCGCAGTAGATTCTGGCACGAAAAAGATTCCTTCCTGTTTTTGCTAGTCCATTGAGAGGATGTTTGATTATTTTTATGTTATGATTAAAACAGATTAATCCAAGAGATGGTTCGATTGATGGTGGTACCCAGATCTCAATCAAAGGGAAACATATTGGAGTGTCGAGAAAACAAATAGATAACATCACTGTCGCTGGTGTACCATGCACGAATGTTTCTATAATTGATCGAGTGTAAGTTGTACAAATTTGTTTTCAAAGGCGACTGAATTCAATTTTACGATACGTATCTTAGGTTCATTTTTGTTCGACAACTTTTTACTATGTAGTGTACAATGCGTTACGGGACCAAGTTCTGTTTCTGTTGGACCAATAATTCTACTTATTGATGGACAGATTGGAGTCAGTTCGGCAAAGTTTACTTATAAGGTTATGTTGAAGTTTATTCTACATACATGTATCAGGTTAAATTTCACTGAATACTCATACAAACTTTTTTAATACATCACAACTGCATAATTTTAAATCCCTGTAAGCAAAATCTGAAAATAAATGTTGTTGTAAAGTTCTTATACGTTTGTCTTCGGTCAAAAAAGATTCTATACATTTTTGCTGATGATATTTTTATAGGATCCACAACTATTAGGGTTGTCTCCTTCTGAAATATTACAATCCGGGGGAAGATCCATCACATTGACTGGAAGAAATTTACAGATAGGAAATAGGAACATTCGAGTTGAACTAATAGATGAGTCTTCCAACACAAAAACGTGTTCTGTGTATGTTTTTATAAGTGATATTTATACAAAAAAAGGAAAAATTATCATATTTTATGCAGTCTTTTAAAAAAAAAAAAAAAAAAAAAAACTCTTTACATTATACTATGAAAACTTTTAGGAAAATGAAGATTTCATCTAGCAAGGAAATAATATGTGTTCCGGAGCCCAGTAACAGTACAGGTCCTCATATAATAGAGGTTTTCTTTGATAATACATCAGTCAGGACATTACAGAACATGAGTTTGACTTACCTGTCTGATCCTGTAGTGCAGGAAACAGAACCGTCAGAGTTTAAGAGTATTTACAGGTATATAATTCTGAATTATCAGTACCTTTTACTTAGTGTAATGATATACAATGTAAAACTATGTTTAGAATATTTTAGGAGAATTGTATTAAAAGTTAATAGGTATTTTGCTTTTAGACGCTCTCGGTTGATGACTGGAATGCTCTTTGACGTATATTTCATTTAGTAAATAGTTTTATGTAATATTTCATTTAGTGATCGTCCTTTCATGTAATATTACATTTAGTAATTGGTCTTTCATGTAAAATATCCTTTAGTAATTGGTTTTTCATATAATAGAACATTTAGTAGCTGTGTCATTCTAGTGTTACTATATTTTGCTCGTAAGTCCTAAGTAATATTTTTAGGACAAATTTGTTTTCATTTAAGTCTCTGAAAAAGAATTTTGTATAATCAAATTAATATTAAAATAATAAAACTTTGATATCCCGAAAGTTATGAGTTTAACGTTTAAATGTATTTTTGGTTCAATGATCTAAATAATTCAAATTAGCATTGATTTTTTTTAAACATGAGCATTATAAAATCGGGGCAAACGGATTATTTTTCATCTTTTTATATTTATTATATATATTTTGCTAAAAATGAAACTCATAATTCTAAATCCCTTTAAGCAAAATCTGAAAATAAATGTTTCCTAAAAAGTACATTCATTTTTTTTTTTACATTCTCTAAAGTGGATTCTTATACATTTTTGCTGTTATGATATTTTTTGTAGAATCCACAACTATGAATTGTCAGTACACTTTTCAGAAATATTACAATCCGTAAGATCATCACATTTCTGGAAGAAATTTATATATGTTTTTGGATAATCTTAACAAAAGCAAATGTGAGCTTCGCAACACTAAATTCCTTGTTCTGTGTTGTTTTTATAAGAGATAGAGGAAAAATATCATATTTTATGAATGTGTTTTTTTTTGTAATTTATTATACTTTTTTAATTTTAGGAAAATGAATTTTCATGTTCAAGGAAATAAATGTGTTCCGTCCCATTTGTAAATACAGGTCCTCATTTTCCAAGGTTTTCTTTGATAATACATCTCAGGGTTCAGAACATGACCTTTCTTTACCTGTTTGATCCTGTAGTGCAGGAAACAGTGCTTGATGTTACATGAACCTATCTTCTTCCCTTTCAATGTCAGAAAAAAAATAAAATTACTATCACGGTAAGACATTTTTCATCATTTAAAAACTTTTCGACAAAGTGTACATGATATACAATGTGAAATATGCTTAGAATATTTTAGGAGAATTTTGATTTTGAGTTTATAAGTATTTTGCTTTTAAACGCTCTCGGTTTTTGACTATATTGCTCTTTGACGTAAAATTTTTAGTAAATAGTCTTTTATGTAATATTTCATTTAGTGATCATTTTCATGTAATATTACATTTAGTTTTTGGTCTTTTCTGTAAAATATCCTTTAGTAATTGGTATTTCATATAATATAAAATTTAGTAGCTGTGTCATTCTAGTGTTACTGTATTTTGCTTTTTTTTTTTGAAAGTCCAACCTAACTATATATATTTTTAGCACGTTAATTTTCTTAATTTCCAATCTAATTTTTATATGTCTCAAAAAAAGAATTTTGTATAATCAAATTAATATAAAAATAATAAATTTTGACATCCATGAAAGTTTGAGTTTAACGTTTAAATGTATTTTTGGTACAATGATCTAAATAATTCAAAATAACATTGTTAGTTTTTTTTAACATGAGCATTATTAAATCGAGGCAAACGCTTACTTTTCATCTTGTTATATTTTCCATTATATATATTTTGCTAATTTTGACATATAAATACCAGGACGAATGTTTTAATTAATTAGTAACGATTGGATAACGTTTTTTAAAAAGTACATTCATTTTTTTTACATTCTCTAAAGTGGAGGGTTAAGCTTTGCAGTTATCGGTAGCGGTTTTGTAGAAGTCATCGATGAATTGACAGTACACTTTTCAGGGCACAAAGAAAACGTAAGTCATTTATTTCTGAATGATGAATTGATATTATGTTTTGGGATAATCTTAACAAAAGCAAATGTGGTAAACAGCATCTATGATAAAAGTGAATTTTATGGTCCCCGCCCAAAACCCTTTTTAAAATTAATGAAATCTTTAAACTCTCTTCTTTACTCCTAGACATCAAACTATTGGCATAAAAATGTGAATGTGTTTATTGTTTGTAATTTATTATAATTTTTTAATTGGACTAATTGATACAGAACAAGAATTTGTGCTCAGGGGTAAATATATATCAGGGCTCTTTTGAATATAATGTAAAATGACTTAATTCTTTGAAAATCTTCTCTCCTACTGGGTATAAAATAAACTAACCAAGTAGAAAGTTATGATGAGCAAGGGTGCCTCTTCAAAAATTGTGAAATTTATGGCCCAAGGGTCAGGGGTTCTGTATGTTAACGATCCTATCTTCTTCCCATATCATATGAAAACCATTAAATCTTATAGTTTTGATCTCTGCCTCAGGGTATCAAAAAGAAAATTACATATCACGATGAGACAGTTTTCATCATTTAATTTTATAATCCCAAAGCATACATGGGTTCTAATGATATGGTTATTCGATTTTTTTGATTTTGATATAGTTAAAATGCAACAAAAACTAAATATATATTTTTTGCATGGTGTTAATTTTCATTAAATGTACATAGTAATGGTTATTAGGTTACAGGTTTCAAAAAGTTGCAATTTTTTAGCCCCAGAGGATTAATTTTGGCTTATCAGAAGGGTGCTCTATTTAAAATTTGATATCGCTAAAATATGATTGCGATTTATCTGTAATAGCTTTTTTAATAAGCATTTTAAACTCATGTTAAATAACATCTGCATCTTAAAAATTGTTATTTTTAAGAACAAATCGCTAACTTTGGTGTTAGGGCGCTAAAATTTCCATTATATAAGTTTTGAATTTTGACATATAATTCTAAAAATCTTCTTCTTTAATAATTAATTATGTAACGATTGGATAATATTTTTTAAGTAAATTCAATTCACAATTACATTTTTACATTTAACATTTTGAATTATGGTTCCTTACTGCATTGATTTTTATATAGTTAAAATGAATTAAATCTTCAAAAATCTTCTCTACTCCTGGGTATTTGATAAAGTAACTTAGTATAAAGTCATGGCCAGTGAGTCGTGTCTTAACATTGTGAACATTATGACAGTTTCGGTTTTGGTTTAGGACCACTGATTTCATTTTGGTAAACAGCATCTATGGATGAAAATCAAAAAATGTGAATTTCATGGCACCAGTGTCAGTGATTTTGGTGTAAGGGGGGGGGGGGGGGGGCTGGTTATGTAGTGAAAATACATTGACTCTTTAAAAATATTTTTCTTTGCGCCTGGGTGTTATGCCAATGATCCAATCTTGAATGATCCAAGCATATATATTTATGATGAAGAAAGGTGCATCTAGCAAAATGGTTAATTTCATGTCCCTTGGATCAGGGGTATCGAGGAGAGGGGAACATAGTTTGGAAATAAATTTATGTTTTGAAATCTTCTATTTGGTATTTATCAACCATTTTTGATGAAATATAATATATGATATAATTCAGAATTTTGCGATATGTGGCCCACGGGTCAGTGGTTCTTTTTGGGTGAGGTGCGCACAACTGGTTATGGAGTGGAAGTGCATTTTCTCTTTGTTACTTTGATATACCTTTGGTTATAATGTAATCAAAGCAAGCAAGCTAAGTCTATAGTTATGATAAGCAATGGTTCCTCTTTCAAAATTGTGAATTTCGTGACATCTGGTTTAAAACACAAACCAAATTCATTCTTGGCAAGTTGTTACATGATCCTCAGGCCCGTGGGCCTCTTGTTTTCTTTGTAATCTAAAAATGAGATGTTAGTCTTCATTCTATCTACTCAATATTTAAAACAAATATTGCTTTTCCATCTTTTTTCCAAATTCAAGATTTTTTATCACTTGATTTCTTTTTGAAAGCAAAGGAAAACAATAAAAAATAGTTCTAGAATTTTAGTACGACAAAAATATGCTTTTTATGATTTCTTTTTTCCATAGGGTGAGAATTTAGATGCTGTTGCAACTAAGGATGATTATTATATTCGAGTTGGGTCAGAGGAATGTATTATAACAGATCTACAGAACTCTAGCCTCACGTGCACACCACCATATACAGAGCCAACACCTTTATCAACTGAGGAGAAATTGTTTATAAGAGTAGGTTGCTAGATACTGAAACCTGTCTCACCTATTTGTTTTTTCTAGAATGTCCATATACTCAAACAATGTAATTCATAAAACGTAAAAGCTGGACACGATTCGTAAAAGGAATGTGTCTGCCATATAAGATCAGACTCTAAATATATCGGAGGACACTTTAATAAAGCGGCTGATGTGGTCACTTTTCATTTTAACTGGTCCACATTTGTGTAGACGGATGTATGCTCTTTAGCACTGAGTAACAACAAAAATAAATCTGTACCTCTTTTAATGCAGGAAAAATTACAATCTAATTAAAATTAAATGTTAGATCCCCTCGCATACTCGCTACAATAAACATCTAACATTATCCCATAGAGGGTCACGCCAGAGGTCAATCAAATCGTCGCCTGCAAAATCCTCGTATATTGTTAAAGCGAATAAGTTTTATAGCTTTCCGAATTTGACCTCTGACGTGACCCTTAATGGGATGTTGTTCAATGTTAGGGTAGCGAGTATTCGAGAAGATCTAACGTCTCATTTTAATTAGATTGGAAAAAGTAAGATATCTAAGAAACTCACAATAGTTGCACGCACAGGTCATGAGCTCAGTATACAAACAAACACAAATACACGTACATGTAACTGCAATAAAATGTAAGCAAAAGTAAGTGTCCAGATTCAATCAATGCATCTCGAGTATACCTTTGTGCTGATGTCGCAGGAAGAAATATCGAAAATGGTGTATGTCTACATATATTAAGCACACATTGTAAATAGTGACATCATGACATTGTTTGAACTTTCTAAATCATCCATGCTAAAGTGTTTATGTATGTAATACTAATTAGATTCAGATGCCTAATTGTTTTTCCTTCGTCTTGTATCATTAGGTTGAAGTAGGATTCCTCACCGTTGTTGTTGGTGATTTGATTTATCCGTCGTCCACATGGTACATTGTTATAACTGTGAGCATCACTGTTGTGTTTGTTGGTGTTGTAACAATTGCCGTTCTTAGATTGAGGAAACTCAAATCCAGAAAGAAACAAGAAGCTCAAAATTATGTTCAAAACGTGCAAGGTATATGATTCAATATTTAGAAGACCAAACTTTTGTTGATGTGTACAAATGATCTTTTGCATAGATAATTTCACAATTTATTTTTTCCCGTTAGTGTGCCCACCATATATCTAATTTTGAAGTCTTTCACTGACAGCGAAAAAAAATGTTGACATGAATGTTGAAAAACAACCAATATGATATTTTTTTAAATTATACCTTGTGGAACATTGAACTTGATTTGCAGCCCTAGACCTGCACATGATAAATGTAGCTTCCCGGCATGGGTAAAATAAATCCAGAAATAGACATTAAAGAAATAAACAAACAGAGAAACAAATATTCATATTCAACTATAAACAGAACCTTGCCATAAGTAAGACATAATTTTTCCAACAATATATTTAATTGAAAAATGCGTTTTTCTTAAGCATAATAATTGTAGTTTAATTTTTGCCATTCTTATAATCAGATTTAAGTACCATGAAATGCAAAATTCTTTGCACTTTTTTTTCACATTATTTCAAAATATTTTTTTCTGTAAATAATGCGGTAATATCATACCAAGTGCAAAATCATTGAGACTCTAATTTGTTAAGAAACCATGATACTAGTTTGAGGTTAACAGTTTTGTCTCTGCCAATTCATTATCTATTTTCAATGATTTGTATATCATTTTGTACATAGGCAATTTAGCCACATATGATCCACATATGCATTGCCTTTCATCTGAAGATCAGATGTGGATCATATGTGGCTAAGTTGCCTGTATACAATTCTGCATGATTCAGTTGGAAAAATGGAAAATGAGCTAGTTCTGACCTCGCAACATGTTATTTTTTACATAAAAATTTAAAATAATTTTTTTCACATAAAATATATATTGTAAAAATGGTATCATTACTCATCTATGACCATATGATATAGTTTTAGGATACGAAATGCTGAGAATAAATCGGGATCAAACTGATAAACATGGAATTGATGAAAGTATAGTGGACCTCCTGAAAAGTAAAGGTTTGCTTATCTCTCCCGATGACATCAGAATTGGAGATTGTGTTGGAAAAGGTAGATATAAACGGGAGAAAGAACAAGAGTATTAACTGCTCGGTTTTTAAGATAGATTTACATGGTCTTATTTTCGTACTACTGCAATCTTGTATTTAGGGAATTTTGGGATTGTGTATGAGGGTACATTGACCAAAGCAGTGGAAAATAATGAAATCAAAGTGGCGATCAAATCCTTACACGGTATGTTACTTATTTGTTGTTTCAATTGTTATCAAGATGTCCTATAACGATGTTATATTTAATTCCCACTCCTTTCTTTTGTCAAGCAATTGTTTATTTTTGATCTCCTGCCTTTCAATTAAGATAATTATACTTCAATGATTTTAATTAAAAGTACTCCTAATTTTCCAATCTTCACTAATGTCACATTAAGAAAAACTTTCCTAACTTCATTTACTTGGATATTGATTAAACTGTTATTCACCCAATGGCATTTACAATTTCATTCCCTCAATCGAATGTAACGATAGGTACTATACGAGTACTGTAGAGTGGTATACAGGGGATATTACATCCGTAGGAAGTAACTAATGCAGTTGGGACAAATTCAAAGAATACTTCTTTCCATTTTTTTGGATGCTGTTACTTCTGTTTGCTGATGCCGTAGCTCAGTCGGTAGAGCGCTCACTCCGAGATTGGAAGGTCGTGCATTCCGCGACTGACCTTAGCTGATAAAATAAAGGAAGCAACTGTTCGTTCGGCAATCATTGGAAACTTTGATGTGAAAGTTATGGGTCCTTATGATAAGGTCTTCAGAACCGAAGCCTAATGGCCGGAAAGATATTTGCAAGATAAAGAACAATTACTACAAAATCATCTTGTCAAGTAATAGTCTAAATAAAAAATCCTTAGATATGTGGTGACGTTACTAGCTGGATGAAAATTTTCAAAAGGAAAAACAAATGCACTAAGATCTATTGCTAGTTCACCTTGTCAAATTCTTTTGTAATTTTATCGTCCTCTGCTTCTAATTCCTACATTAAATTTTTGTATTCGTAACCCTTCATTTTCGAATAAGCACCCTAGTTCTTCATTTACTGCTATCATTCTCCCAATTCCTGTCTATACAGTGCTGCTATCCTATAAGTTGACAATTCTATCCTATCCTATCGTGAATCCTGCATCCACAATCCTATCCTGTGATTTTAGTCTAATCCTATCCTATCCTATCCTGCAACTCTCAGTTTTTTAATATTTAGGAATTAATTTGACAAAACGAAAAAAAAGGAATTACCAGGAAAAAAATCAGACATAGTTATGGTATTCATTTAAATGTTATAAATTTTAATGGAAAAAAAAAATAATCGAGATCGGCATTCCATAATTCCCGACTCGCCGCACAAATTAAATTTTATTTAATTGCAATGTTAAAAATAAATGTTAACAAACAGGTCGTAATTACACGTGGACAAGTACTGATTTTGCGAACATATGTAAAGAAATTGGGCTACCAGAAGAATTAAAGAAAAAAAATATACTTAGTGTTTTCATTTTCCTACTAACAATGATCGGGAGACCAGGGATCGCGACTTGCGGCCGACGTATTATAATTAATTATTTTTAAAAATCATAGGCCTATACGGTAAAAATGTTGAAGTATATGCTTCATGTAAAATTTTATTTTTTTCTAAAATGAGCACCATGAAAATAACATGCATGTACATGTACATGTACATGTATCTATAGTCTAACTGTGCCTGCATAACAGGTTTTTCTGTATGCAATTCTCAAAAAGAAGATCTGACTAGACCATAAACCAAACAGACAAAGTCAAAATGTAGATCTAGAATATTTTGACTTTCACATATTAAACATTTAAAATGTGAAATTGTCTTATAATATCAAATATTAAATGTATGATTTTTTTATTTAAATTCATAATTTATTCTTTTTTAAAATTTCAGTTCATCATCTGTCGTATGTGATATTTTTCAAACATGCTAAATACATAGTTGCTATATAAATTCAAGATGATCGAAATGTTTTTTTTTTTTGTTTTTTTTTTCATTTAACTTCAGTTTCTTCTCAGTTTATGGTCAGCTCAGTGTCGTACAAATGTATTTCAATTTCCTATTTTGTTTTATGTGTGAAAATTTAATAATTTATGCTTAATAGAATATATTTTCTAAATTTGATATTGGTTGACAGATTGACAGTATATAGATATTGTTTGTAGTTGAGTGTAACATTGAAAATTTTCACCCCAAGAAAACCATTGTCAACTGAGGCGCAGCCGAGGTTGACAATGGTTTTCGAGGGGTGAAAATTTTTAATGTTACACTCAACTACATGCAATATTTATTATATTATACTGAATGTTGTATACAAATACATATAACAGTGAACCGTGCGCCCATAAATTCCGCGCAGTAATTATTTTTAGTAATACCACCCGTCGTCAAGCAATGTTGACTGTTGCTACGCAGGAGGGCATGGCTTCATTATTCAGCGGGTAGTAGTGTTTTTTATCAAATGTTTCTCGACGAATCAGATTCAAATAATTTACATGAAAGTATAATATTAATAAAAATTGTAGTGAGGTCACACATGTTCCTAAGATCTTATAAAACATGCAAGAGAAATTCAGAATTCACAGTATTTACAGTATTTATAACTCATTCTTGAGTAAAGCAAGTTTGTATTTAACCTCGGCATTGGATCTTGAATCTTAATCAGTGTCTGATTGAAAAATATTGAAATGCTCCACACATGTTCCTTAGATCTTATAAACATGCATAAGAATTCACAGTATGTATAACACATTCTTGAGTAAACCTTTTATTTGTCCTTGACATTTGATCTTAAAACTATCAATGTTTAAATGAGAAAAAAAACTTTATCAAGTACACAATATTTTTATTCAAGGTAATTCCTCAACAATGTTTAACAATTGAATATTCCATTTACATGAGACAAAGTCATTAAAAGTATCCATGTACAGCATTTATGAGTTTTAATTCAAAGATCACAGATACATGTACATGAACTTTGTTTAAATTTAAGTTTATCAATGTTTTTATTACCGTAGTATAATGTTTTACATGCATTTAATTTGACTTTCTTATTCGACGCTCAAATTGAAATTCAAATGTCAGAGTTATTGTCAGAGAGATGGTCATAAACTGAAGAGTTCCACAAATGTCAACAATGCACAGAAAACATACACTGATCTCCTTAATAAAAGCACCATGATTTCAGTCTTAGAAATCTTTGACACTGGTTTGAACATCTTTCATCTTTTACTCTAACAGCATATGGCATGAACTGCATTCTGCACAGCTGCAAATCTGCAGGGTTTCCTGAAAAAAAAATCACATAATTATAGGCATGTAGATTGTAAATTTTGTCATACACATTTCATACACATTTAAAATGTTTTTGATTGTGATTATCTTTCACATTTCATGTACAATATATTGGCTTTAATTTCACCTTTTTCTCTAAAAAAAAATTATGCATTTAGAAATCATGAAAAATAAAATCTTATACTGCAACCTCAGATATATAAAATTAAGAAAAAAATCTTATTTAAGATAATTTACTTGTACATTATAATTCATTTTATCTTGTCAACTTGCTAACAAGTATGAATTTGTTTTAGTGACTTTTCTCTATTTTCTCTTTGTATTTATCTATTTAATGTTTTTTCTTGGTTTTTTTGTTTTTTGTTTAGGTCTTGTAATTTGAATATGAAAAAGAAGAAGAAAATATCTATGTAACAGCAACATGATGACCAGAAAAATTCAACATTTCTTTCAGTTTAGCTCTCAAGATTTTTGAAAGAAGAAAATCACTTGTTCCGAGAAACTGCAGACATGTCACATCAAAGCAGATAAAGATGTTTATATAGTTGAATGACCATTTGAAAATACATGATAAAAATAAAATCATACATACTTTTTAGATTAAAATCCTTTATACTGTGATGACGCATGATGACGCATGAATGCAGGCAAATCCATCTCTGTAATAATGAATATTAAAAGATTAACTTATGTTTCATAACTCACAATACATCATACATACATGTACAATATGTAAATGCACTGCTGAGTGAGCTTATTAAACATTTAAACAGTAGCATTAGAAATGGTCATGATGATTCTATATTAATTTATTATAAGTTACACTGCAATGAAAGAATTAAGGAAATAATAACATTAATAAACTGATTAAGACATAATACATATGATTGTTTTAGTCTTAGAGCTCACTGATAGCTAATTGAATCATATGACAGAGTAAAGGGGGTATTTGTAAATATTTTATCCCCCCCTTCTGTCTACACAGTCATTACTTCTTTTTTCCCGCACCTGATTTTTGTTTATATTAAATAGAATAAAATGTTTATATTTTAAGACACAAGAACATTGTTTTGAGGGATAAATAAGTATAAAAATGCAAACATGTACAGTGTACAGTGTGTAGTCAGGTAGTATACTTACATGAACTCGTACATCATCTATTCAAGTCCGCTGTTGACGGTTCCTGTGGAATTATCCAAACAAACAGAGCATATTTAACAGAAAACATGTTAGAACACTTTTACACAAGTAAGAATCGGTTAAATCATCCAAACAAACTGAAGAAATACGGTCTTTCGATGTCTGGACTCTTCGTTGTTTACATTCCCAAATCTTCCGGTGATCGTTTACGGTTAGATCGTACGCCGTTTTACTCGAAGTTTATAATGTAAATCTGTGTTTTGAGAAAAAAATGTTTTATTTTCTATTGAAATTTTATAAATATTTCTTTTGTAAACATTTTATATCGTGTTTCGTTTTTGTAATTTATTCTGAAATATGAATGAACCTTTGCTCGAATCTGATTGGCTGTAGGATACAGGATAGGATAGGATAGGATAGGATTGGATTAACATCTATATGTTTCTATCGTGAATCCTCAATCCTGAATCCTATCCGATCCCATCCCATGTCAACTTGTGGGATAGCAGCACTGTACCACAACTACTAAAACCTACTTAACGCTTCGTTCAATTGATACGTCCTACATCAAAACAAACTGTTCCTTCTATTCAGATAAGGGATCACAAGATATAGACGTCAAAGAGTTTGTAAATGAAGCTTTACAAATGGCTGATTTCCACCATCCAAATGTGATGACATTGATTGGAATTTGCCTTGCAAGTGAAATGCCACTGGTGATCTTGCCATTTATGGGTCATGGAGATATGTTAACATATATCAGAGATAAAAACAATGTAAGATGTTTCATATTTGTAGAGCATTATAAAGTTTGTATGGACATTTAACCAAATCATATAAAACAAATTGTATCGGAATAAAATCATAAGAAGCAAAACCAAACGTGCCTATTGAACGCGAATCCTATGGAGAATGGTGCGTATTCTTATGCATATGTTTTTATTTAACCAGGTAATGACACTTTTGAACATTTTACATTTCGCCGCTGATATTGCCAGGGGTATGGAATATCTGACTTTACAAAGGGTAGTTCATCGTGACCTAGCTGCAAGAAATTGCATGTGAGTTGTTCTTTTAAATTTCTAAGACTGGTCTCACTTTTTGTAACTATTTAGTTTACTTGCATTTATCTTATTGACTTTCTCGAAGGCTTGGCGATGACAAAACAGTAGTAGTAGCAGACTTTGGCTTGTCACGTGATATATATGAGAAAAATTACTATTGTGTAAGTAATAAGAATTGTAAGTTGCCGGTGAAATGGATGGCGCCTGAAAGTCTCGAGAAAGGCCTCTTCACAACCCAGTCAGACGTGGTAATACATGAAATTCTCGTACTTTGAATACCAAATCAACAGGTTTCTCTCTTCTTCACTATCGATATTAAATAATTTTTACTTCCAGTGGTCTTTTGGTGTGGTGCTTTGGGAATTAGTAACCAGGGGAAATAAGCCATACCCGGAAGTGGACGGATGGGACATGCTCAGATTTCTGAAGATGAACAGGAAGTTACAACAGCCTCAGTACTGTCCAGATGTGTTGTAAATGTTCATTTAAAATTCAATCATAGGCGAAGCTGATTGTGTAAGCTGGGGAAAGGTGACTGTTTTTACTTCATAAAATATTACATTTGTCACCATTTCCCCATTATTTGTGTTTCAATTTACAAAAAGCTGTATTTGAGATTTTTTCCCTTTATTTCTAAATGAACCTAGTCGTTCCTTACAAATATGAAGGAAAGATACTCCAAGGAGCATGCCTTGATTGATATATTTTTTCTACATTTAATGATTGCTTAGGCTAAAAATATAATATTTCTAAACTGGTAGAAAAATGTATAGTTTCCATAATGTTCAAAATTCTTCCTTTAGTTTTTATACAGCATGTTTCTAAAGATTTCTTATATCAATTGTTTTCCAATGGATACATTATTTCATGTTTTGGCTCTTTATATCATAAATTCTTAGCAGTACGGTTAAACTTTTCATTTCATCTTTATACTCATATAAACATTTTTTTTTATTTCGGGAACCAATGTTTCTTTAGGATCATATATCCTTAACCTAAAGTATTTATAACAAAGCAGAGTAATTTATTAACCACCGGAGAAGGTTTTCTATCGGCATTCAGTTTTTAATCTTCCGTTTACAAGGAGAAAAGCGCAAAAGGATTTTTTTATCATTATTATAGGTTTATATAAAATATCGGTACAATAAAGTTTTTTTTCTGAATTTCAGGTACTCTGTAATGTCAAGATGCTGGGATCTAGACCCCGACAGAAGACCAATATTTCCAGAGCTAGTGGGTGAAATGACCAGATTCACAACTCCATCCTCAGATGATAATTATCTGGAACCTACCGCTACTTATGAGCAACTTCGAAATACTTATGTCAATGTTGAACTAGGGGTAGACTACCTCGATCTCCACTGATAAATCTACTTACAAATAAAAAAAACAATATTTATCTTGTAATCTTCATACCAAATTAGAGACAACGAAGAATGTTAGATAAATGCTTTCATTTTGATCATTACCATGTGTATGTAAAAGTTCATTGCATATTTTTTATTTCCCAAAGTCTTTTCTTTTAATTTTTATATCTAAATTTATTCTTTCTAAGGAAGCCTTGACATTTTATTATTCGAAGAAAATAATGCAAAAATATTGATTAGTTTTTTCAGTTTTGCAGGATCTTGCCTCTTTTTCATTATCTATCGTTAAGATAACATGCATATGACCTGGACAGATTTTAATAATTTTAGAGTTATATGCTTAATCATCCATGTAAAAATTATAGCAGATTGTTACTTATCCAAACATCACTGGATTATTAAAATGTTTTAATTTAGGAGTGTGTTTTTATTTAAATGCTTTTATTTTGTCTTTACCACTTATATGTAAAAGACCATTTCATGTACATGTGATAATACCCATTTTTATATTTTTTCTTTTTCTTTTTTTTTTATTTTTGCAATGTTTAAAAAAACATTTTCTTTCAATATTTAACTAAGTAAGAATTGGGAATTGAGGACCTTCAAAAACATGGAATTTGCATTCAATTTCTTAATATGTTAAACAATTGTGATTCTGAATAGTGGAATTTCCCTAACTGTTACCTACATGTCTAAAGTTACGAATACCCATACAAATTGATTTAAAGAGGGATTCCTATTTCCCGCCGAAGGTGTTGGCTTATGTATCTATGTCATAAAGGCATACAAATTTATTAACACAATAATTATTATAGTTAATGATGCTAGGCAACTTACGCATTTCCTTAGTTAATACTCTGCTTTGAAAAAAATCTTTCACATCTTTTCACTGGAAATAATAATAATTTCCCGATCTTTACACCTCTCTGCAATTCGTCTAGTTTGTTATTGTAAAAAGTAATATTTTTCCGGGAAAATGAAAAAAAGTGTATCACCGATTACTAATTTTACCAAAATAGTGCTGTCATGAAGATGCATTAATAATGACACAACATTTTACTGTGAATTTTTTTTTTACAAATAATTATTTCGCCACCTTAACCAACAGATCTTGATAAAACATATTTACAATAACCAGATATATCGGGAATATGTTCATCATTTATCCAATATTTTTTTAGAATATCAATGCTAGGACTTCAAGAGATGTTTGTAAAACACTTAAGCCCACCTCCCCCCAAATTGAAATTTTTCAAGTCAAAAAGGGCATAACTCTGTTCTGTCAAAAATGACGAGATGGTACCCAAAAACAGAATTTGACCTAGATATTTATTTGAAAAATCTGTATATTAAATTTCATTTTAGTATGTGCAACCTCAGCGAAGAAAATGAAAGGAAACTGCAAATAATTTGATTTTTTCTAAGTCCAAGTAGCATAACTCTGACACAAATGGTGATCGAACCCAAAACAGAACTTGGCCTAGATATTAATATCTGTTTTATCTGCGTGCAAAATTTCATTTCAGTACGTTCAACGGTATTGAAGAAAATGAACGGACAATAAGTGGACCGACAGACCGACCGACAGACAGCAGCAAAGCAATATGCCCTCCCTTCTTCGAAGGGGACATAAAAATAATCGTTGCTCAGTTTATCAGAAAAAATTTTTTGTATGTTCCAGGAAATATTTGAAACATCATTTCACACTCGGAGTCATGATTTGTATTGACTACCACGCTTGGATTGACGCAATCACCTTCACCTGAACATATGCATTACGCTCTTACCTACACTCCTCGTCCATTTAGCTGACCAGATCAGATACTTTATGGTCACAAAGACTGTAAAGTTTATCATTTTTAGTTTGTAAAGCATGAATTAAACATGATTATTCTCCTCTTGTTATCTTCTTGCTCCAGGAAGAAAATTTATCTGAGAACCCATTTTTGACGGAATTTATTCGTCGGTTTATTTTTTAGCCTTATATCCATGTTCTTTAACCATGTCATGTTCTCTTTTGTGAAAGAAATCCTACTACATTTTTAATAATTTTTCTTGATAGGCTTTCCAAATCGATGCACGTTTGCAAACTGAATCTAATGCCCAAATCCTAACTCACACTCTTACAAGTCTCGTAGCTGGGCTTCGTTATCTTCATTGCTAGTTTCACTCGAAGACCCGTAAACACAAGATTGCTTTACAAAGATCTCCATTGAGGATCGTCAACTTTATAACACAATCGCCACGGTCACGCCCTATGATCTCTAGATTTCTATTTATGAGTTAGATCTTTATCTTTTGTCGCAAAAATTTCTTTGGTCAGGTTTTTCATCATCTACTGTTTTTCTTGTCTTCCTGGTCTTTTCAATCGGCTGGGATATTCAGGAATTTTTCATGCCCATAAATCTAGCTAGCATCAGGATATCAGCATTGATATCAGTATCAAGAAGTTAAAATGAAATAAGCAATTTTACAATTGACCTACTTGAAATCAGCTTTGTCTTACTAGCATCGGAAAATCGGTGATTTTTTCAGTTTTAAATTGCATACGAAAAAAGATAACCGGTGACACTACTAACAAATAACATATAATGGAATAAATATCTGATTCTTACGCCTCAGTGACATGGGACTTCAGTTTTGTGGTCTCATACAAAGGACCCGCAACTTTCACTTCAAGTGCCGAACAGATACTGATTTTGTATCGACTTGCGACCGTTCACAGTAGCCCAGTCGGTAGAGCGCTCGCTCCGTGATCGGGAGGTCATGATTTCGTATCTCGGCCGCGACTGACCTAGTCGATAAAATGGGTAGCAACTCAGCACACGCTCGGCACATTGAAGTGAAAGTTGCGGGTCCTTCGGATGAGACCTTAAAAACCGAGGTCCCGTATCAGCAGCAGGCATTGGCACGATAAAGATCCCTCACTGCTCAATGGCCCAGAGTGCGGAGTAAAGGTCAAAATTTGAAGCCCTTCACCTGCATACGGTGACGCCTCCATAAGAGCGAAAAGTTCTCGAGAGGGACGTTAAACAATATACAATTAATCAATCAATGTATCGACTTGTGTAAGTCGCTACCAAGATTCGAACTCATGACCTACCGATCAGGAAGTGAGCGCTCTGTCGGTTGAGCAACCGTAAACAGCGTGATGAAATATAGTGATAAAAGGTTTACAAAGCTTTCAACTGCGATGCTGAAATCATTTAGCTACTTCCCCATACTATGATTCTACTTCCAGTTGCATTGACCTAATTTTAAAACATCAAAGGTATCATCATATATACTGTATAAAGATAACAATAATTAAATAAACATCAAACAACCAAGGACAGTATAAAAATAAAACATCCACACTGCAACGAGATTAGTTCCCTGCACTTTGTTCATGTCCTTATTAATTAATATATACCACTAAAGAGGCGACAATTACGGAAATTATTTCACATCAATCCTGAGAAATTTCTGTTATTTGTAACAATATATAACAAATAATGATAATTTTGTGAGTTTTTTCTTCTTTAAACCGGCTTAACTCATCATTTTTAAACGTTGAATATTGAACCGGGGGTGTTTTTTCTCCGTTGAAAATTGAGACCAAAAGTAGTTGCATTGAATTTATATTCCGGCTCATTTTTCAACAGCTTGATATTTTTTTCTTATCCCTGTTGATCTCAACAAGTTGAGAATTGACCTTGTTGAATATACCCCACCAAAGATTTTAGACATTTTTTGAACAGGGAAGTTGCTTCACGGGATTTATCAGTATCTCTATATTTATATTTTTCGGTTTCAATTTTTCCATTTTCAAGAAGAATACAAATAAACCTATCATTCCGTGTATATATGTACATTTTGAACAGTACACGATTGCAGTTACCTTCAAGCATGACAACTTTATTTCTTGACAATACTTTCTAAAATCCATACATTTGTAGCACCCATAAATAACAACATAATTGGGCATAAAACAAAATTGACATCTTGTGTCTACAAAGTGAGCACTGTATATATACTGATATTGATCAGGTGGGCAGAACATTCCATCTAGTCGTATTCAGTATTAAATTAACAAAAATAAAAGCCTACAAATTAGAATAAAACACATCGGCCAAAATAAATCCAATGCACTTGAAATCTACATCGATAAAAATAAACCTGAACTTTCCTCAATTCAAATTGAAAAAATGCTCACATAATTTATCTCAACTTGAGAGAAGAGCACTTAACCAATAACGAAATCGCAACTATATTGTAATTAAAAAGGCTGACAAAAACAAAATATGTGTTATGAACAAACACGACAATATTAAGGAAGGCGATCGCAAACTGAACACTAAATATTACGAAATCATTGACGATTTTGATTTGTCATTACTCCAAAGGAATATTGAAAATAAAATCAAACTTAGACCTCATGCTGAATGCATAATGTTCAGTTATGACGTTAACATCCCTTTATACAAATATGCAGTTCAATGAATTACTCACAGCTGTCAGTGAAGCATACTCTATATACAACAAAGGAGCATTCAAAATTCCTTCACCACCTACAGAGGATCCTCTGTGGTTGTTACAAACAATATAAGAGAACAGGCTTGCGGTCAATTACTTTGAAATGTAATTAATTACTTTCAAATACATTGATAATTTTGTCAATTACTTGCAATTACAATTACATTGATTTTTTCAAATGTAATTAATTACTTTCAATTACTTTGACAAATGTAATTAAATACATTTCAATTACTTCGAGTTTTATATAAAAATCAAAGTACTGAAAGTACTCATGGGAGTTGAACATTGTTATCAGAAAGATCTCACAGGAAGTATAGGAACATCTTCATGCATTCAGATTCAAGTCAGCTAGAACTGATTTGTTAGAGATACAAAATGAAACATTAAAAATGATTTCTAAATGCATTTAAATAGCCAAGATCATGGGACTGCTCTTAAATTAGCTGCAGAATTGTAGCTCTCCGAAAAAAAAATTAACAAACCGGAGAGCTACAGTGCTATCCATTGAAAAAACTGTATATATATGCGGACGAACAGTTCAGTTTAGTTCTGGATTAATTCTTTCTAATTCTTACCTCAACAATTTGACCAAACCAAACAAACAACCCCCATCACCAATAAATTTTTTTTTTTCGAAAATACTATTTTTGTTGTTAGGTTTTAAACTTCTTTCAGTACCATTTATTACTAAAACTCAAACACTTCCCTTATATATTTCTGAAACATTTGAATCAAAACGCCCCCTAATCTCTTCAGAATGTGTACAAGATATTTGGTCCCAAGAAACAAACAAACAAACACTCTTTATATTCGATGTTACCATCACCAGACACTAGATTGTCATTTTTCTTCCTCTGATTAAAACAAGTATTTGCTATTCTCTTTTGGGTATGAATGT